CTGCATGCAATAATCGGCCGGAAATTATGGTAATGATCGCTGTTTTGTTTGCCCAAATCCTGTGGGCAAATTTATAAAAACATCTCTTCTCTCTTCTATAATTACTGTTATGGCTTCTCTCTGATTCCAATTCAAGCTCTCAGTACCACAAGTATCTCGCACTGAGTTGAAAGCATCTTCATTTAGTCAGTTTCAACGCTCAGATAATACGAACTCAATGGTTGGTTTGATTATTGAGGCGTGAACGCTTTCCAGAATATGGTAAGTAAATGCTGATTGGCCAATTTCCAGAAAGGAATGTTGTTCGAATGTGAGCAGCCGTTCGTGGGGGAGTTTTAGCTTGCGTGACGACGCCGGAAATGACTGCAAGGGAGACTAGCAGAGTACAGAATGTCCAAATTATCATAGATTATGCTTTACAACATCTCTACAACACTGAAATATGGTTGCCTTATTGAATTATATATTATAAATATAATAACAGTCACAAAGAAGTATGAACATATAACTCCCATTTTAATAGACTTACATTGCAATTGGTTGCCTGTTGAATACTGCATTCGATTTTTTTCGATTTGTAAATATATTTCTATTTAATTTCCATGCTTATATATATAGCTGTTAGATTTTTCAGTGTTCTTTTAATACATTTTGTGCTATTGTTAAGTGCCTAGAGCAATTAGTGATATAGACGCTTTATAAAAAAAGTTTATTATTATTATTATTATTATTATTATTATTATTATTATTATTATTATTATTATTATTACAGTAAGTACATTCTCACCCAGGCCTCTCCCANCACGAGATTACCGTGCAATGGACGTCCTCCCCTGGGGTGGGATGGGTGGGTTTACTGGGCCCGCTATAATTGGCGCAAGCTGTTGCGGTGTCCTTGCCTGTCAGCCAATCTAATAAATTAAAAATTAATCTTACAACCCTGCAGAACCCTAGGGTGAGATAAGTCAATGGAGTTCCTGCACACTAAAAAGCTTAGGAGTTAAACCTTTGAGAGAACACTCTCCTGCATCTCTTGATCTCAGCTTGGATGCATACATGCACATCGATTTGGCAAGTTGACCAGGAATTACTGACTGAGGGAAAAATCAGTTGGCTCACAAGTTACAGCAACACCTCATAATATATTGCATACAGCAGAATGTTTAGCTTATTGTATAACAGTTAGAATGCAGTTTAATGTTTTACCTTTCTTCACTGACAGAAGATGTCCTTTGCTGTAACGCTTTTCAGACTAAAGTACACACAAAAATAAATTATCACTTTGGCCCTTACATAATATTATTACGGACTATAATCAGAACTAAGTGAAGAACAACTCATATTTAACGAAGCTCAGCCAGGCACCCTCTCCAACTGGTAGCCTTGTTGAATTTTTTTTAACAACTGGAAATAATTTATTCAAGCCACAACAACCAAGCTCTCTGTAATGGTTTTTTATTTGAGGATGCATATATATATCCTTGGTAGGAAAAGGGTTAAAAGATCTGCCAAGAACAAAGTGTAAAGCTTATTAACACAAACATGATTATCACTGAATTGTATAGGGGGAAGTCCAAAGCAACTCTTAATTCCCAATGCACTAGCCTCTCTTTCTTTACAAACTACATTATGAATCAACTTTAGGTTTCCTTACCAAATGGTATCTGATCTTTCTATAGTGATCATATCCTGCACTTTCCACTTTTCTTCTCATGGTTGAATTCCAATGGTTCTTGATAGAGTTATCAGTCCTGTGGAGAGTTTTAGGCACCATCAACAATGCACTTTTGTTGCCCCCCCCCCTGCACCCCCCACAGATCCCCAGAGGTGGACTATGGCTGTGTATCCATGGTTATCTCCTTGCTATCCTACCTGTAACTGTATCATTCCCCCTTAAGGAGAAACAGAAGGGAAGGAGATTAAGGGATAGGAGCAGCTCCCCTCTGTCACAACCTCTAGTACACCTACAGTAGCCTTTTATTAACACCCCTGCACCCACCACAGGTCCCCTAAGGTGGACTATAGCTCTGGATCCATGGTTATCTCCTTGCTATCCTACCTGTAGCTGCACCCTTCCCCCAAGGAGAAACAGAAGGGAGGGAGATTAAGGAGAATGGAGTAGCTCCCCTCTGTCACAGCCTTTATTACACCTAGCTTCCACTCTGTAATGCAAACATCTTTTAGTTTAACATACAAGTAAAAGGAGACAAACCTTCCAGGTAACAATTTTGCTATCTCAGCCCATTTATTCCCCATGGTAATATGAGCTTCATAAATAATCCTGTCTTCATCTTCAGTCCAAGCACATTTCTTGATTTGGGGGTTTAGATGATTATGCCATCTAAAAAAAGTAAAAGAAAAATAATTGGCATGTAACTTGACTTTTCTGGATTATTTCTGTTTGAAGATGTTTGTCACAACATAACAGAAAGTCCTAAGTTTTGCTCCGAATCAAAGAAAACCCTATTTCTAAGCTTCCAGTTTTACAAGAGAAATATTGTTTTCGTTATGCAAGTGGAACTGTTTGTTACACAATTTCAAAAATATTGAGGGATAAAGATGTGGAATATAACAAAATCAGATACTGGCTCTTGGCAGTTTTGTGGTGTACATGAAAAGATATATCACTACACAGCCTGGCCAATCAGTCACAAGAGACAATTAATAGCACTGATGTGTACTTTTACCTTTCACGGCACTGTTTTCCAATCCTTCCTTTCAGATGCTGAGCAATAAGTGACCACCGTTTTGGTCCATACTTCCGAACAAGTTCTACGACTTTGTCATCCTCCTGCAAATCAGGATTACAATTACATTTGCTATCAATGGGCTAATAAGACTTCTCTACACTCTAGATATGTCGTCAGACAATTAAATAGTTGCTTTTTCATATTTTAAATGAAGAGCACTTACACTTTGAGTTGCATACTGACCTCTTTAGTCCATGGACCCTTCACTAGCTCTGGGTTTAGTACCTTCTGCCATCTGTGAAGGCATTGAACATCTGTGCGATCAGGGAAATTATTTGCAACCTCCTTCCAACTGTCAGTTCCAAGATCATCCACAAGTTCTTTTAATTTTTCATCCTATTGAATCAATTTCAAATTTATGATCATTCATGCTGTACCTGCCTTAGTAAATTGTAATATCTAGGAGCATAGTTTTATGGTTACTTGCACTAATCCAGTATCAAATTGAGACAATATCCTCTACAAAATGATTTTCTTGATTAAAATTTTGCATCTGTACAAGTATGCATAAACAGCAATGATGAAACAGAGACAATACCTAGTACTGTCCACATTGCAACTTTCACATACAGCAAACACAGAAGAATCTGGACATTCAGTTGTGCCTTGTGCATTTCATGACAAAGCAAGTTTTGTTAATTACTTGACACACAAGTCTTATTCTGTATAGCATTGTAAACAGATCAGGTCAAGTCCACATTGCAAACTAGCTTGCGTTAAATGGCACACATAGGTTCCAATGCCAATCAAAACTGGAACCTTTGTGGAATTTGAGAAGATGCTTAAGAAACTAAAATATCATTATGAGAATCAGCAAACTAGCAAGAATAAACCCACTTCAACTAACCAGGTCTAACAGTTGCCCTTGAGAAAAAATGAAGAAAAATTACACATTTTGCAAAAACACAAAGGCATAAAATTTTTTGCACCAACACAAATGGAAGAAAAAGGAAAGAATGAACTTGCTCCTTAGTGTGACTGATTTTGCTGACCTAGCCTGTTACTTTAAGAGTAAACACTAACAACTTATTTTTAAAGAAAAAATGCACTTTAATAAGACAAACTTGCAGAAATTAACATTTCAAAAGGTGTTTGAAGCATACAATCTCCACAATCTTTATGCGAATAACGTTGAAATAATCAAATCAATACGTCAGTGCTAATAACGTTAGAAACAGAAAGCACGACAAAAACTAAATCAGTCTGAAATCAAACATTCAATATCCATTTATCTTTCGTATGCAAAATGCCATTCCAGAGTACACAACACGTACATCATGTAATAAAACCATACTCGGCCCTTTTAACTTTTATAAAGTTGCAAATTATCTCCTCCATGACAACGAATATGAATGCAGACCGAGAACTTTAAGAACGAAAATTGAAATCTTTCAAATAACTGCGCAATCGAAAATGGACGCCATCAACAGGCACAACGGACCGGTCTATTCAAATTGATATCAGCTTGAAGCTTAGGTGTAAAACAGACTGCCCAGCAAAATGCGAAATAGCTTGTACTGCGTTGCATTATAGAAACTCCACTGTGACGTTTGAATTTACGAAGGTTCAGTACAAAGCCCTATTCCAGTTCCACGCGCAAAAAGAGAACATCAAATTTATTAGTTACACCCTCGAGACATAGTCGGCACGAAGCACATTTGCTTTATTCCGTTTCATATACATAAATTTGCCTTAATTACGAATTGTGTACATCTTTCATTTTTCCCGATTTGCAACTGCTTTCTAGAACGACTGATCTTCTGCACAAATTGTGACAAATCTTTGAGTAAAGTTAAAGAAATGCAATGATAGTGCCCAGATAAAGGCCGCAAAGAGATGGAGAGCGAACACGAGCCATATTCAGTGCAGTAATACGATCTTTTTCAACGGACATTCGAGATTTAAAATGAACTTCATAACATGCACGCTTGGTTACCTAAAAGTGCGTTCCGCTTTGTTTAGGCCGTCCGGGGATAAGAACGCATCATATTTACCCTTATCGCACCTAAAACGCTTAACAAACCGGTAAATGCTGCATTAACTTCTTGGCGAAGCCATATACGGCAAACACAAGCAAAAACAATCGTCGCCAAAACAAACTGTTATGAATGAATTAACCTAACGTTGGTCTATTCTTGCGCTCTACTTCCAATCTCCTGAAAACATCTAATGGGGCTAGCTATGCAACAAAATGGGCGAAATGCGAAAGAAATCATCATATCACCGCAGTTTTACGACTAAATTCAACGATCAAACGTTACTTCAAGATTATTCAAACCCTCTTTGCCGTAACGGTTGTGAATTATAGGCGACTGCAAGTGCTGAATGCGCAAACCCACCTCGTCTTTCGTCCATCTTCCTTTGTTGATTTTCTTCTTCCGTCGCTGAGCCCTCAGGGATGGTTCGTCCTCGACAGGAACATTATAACCTCTAGATCATAAAACAAGAAACACATGTATGACCGTAGTTACGCACTTTAAACCCCCCCTTCTTCTCAGAGCTGTCGCGCATTAGTTGAGACAAAATGACCCCTGATCGGGGCAGCTTTGCGCTCGGCGCAAAAGATGTCTAACACGCAAAGGTTTCTTTTCGGTTCTAACTCACCTTGCAACCGACTCTGCTGCCTTAAGAAGAAGCAACATTGCTGCATGAGGAGCCTTCAGGCATATTCCGTACTTCACAATAGGGATTTGTCAATATTTAGACTTCAGAGACGATCCTCCGTGTTAAAAAAAAAAAGGCCAAGACGCGGTGGAAGACGCACAGCGAATCAAAAAGAATTTGCACGTGTTACAGCATGCGTAAAGCCCGGATGTTCACTTCAAGACCCAAAATAACACTATTTATTTTCACCGTCCGACGAGAATCCACATGAAGTATGAAAATCTAGCTTCCGAATTTCCAAGTGCGTGAAATGTGCTATAGAGTGGGTTAAAAATCCTAAATGAACCTGAACAAAACATCACATACAACAGAACATTCGAAACGAGGCCACATCGATCGATCGCGCAAGCAAATTGATCGGGATCTCTACTTTGCAAATGTAGTATAATTTATGATTGTAAACGTGGGCAACAAATTCTCTATATTTGCCATTAAGAAGAAGCAGTTCATAATAAACAGCCCGTGGAAATTTCTAAGGAGTGCTAAATTGTTAAATCTGTAACTTAAATCGCGATCAACATGACGAATGTTCAGGAGATGACTCAAGGCATGAGTAAACATTGTCGTCAACAGACAAATCTAAGGCAGAAATCTGGTTAACCAAATTGGAATTGGTGGCTGGGAAGCCAATGTTCAGCATAGAAACAATCACGTGAAATCTTGAGAAAAATTTTTCATTTTGATCTACAAAAATGCTTTGCATCGTGTTCTTATATCAATTTCAAAAATGGCGCGGAAATTGCGACATGATGGATGACAAGTATTTTCAACTTTCGCAATCAGATCAGAGAAAATAATGATCATACCTGGCGAAAGACAACAAATCCTTACCGATAAAAGTAGTCATTTGCCATCCTCGAGGAAATCCGTAGAAATCCTGAGCCAAAAACCCAGAAAGAACCCTACAATTCTTCAGCCTTCTTTTTTGTTGTAAACCGAGATGCGGTTTGAATCACTCACGCTTCAAATAGACCGCTACGACTGCTTTCCTGTGATTGGTCGGAGCTAATATCTTGTTTTGTTTTGATTGGTCGAGGCAAGTTCAAATGTACGTCAATTCCTTTGGGACACATTTCCTATTTACTTGCCGCGAATTGATGTGAAAGTAAATTTTATCGCCGAAAGAGGAAGATATCGATGTCTGGATTTTCTGCCGAAATTTTCTTGTTGAAACCTTTTGCAGGGGTGCATGATTTGCAAGGCTGTTCAATCTGCTGCGTTTGAAAGGCAAAAGTGGGGCTTGCGATCGACGAAAAATATCTAGCTAATTGAGTTTATTTTTTAACTTTCCTTTTTGTTTTGTATCGGGCACGTGGCAAACACGATCTTTTGTACTTAACACCTGACATGGACGAGGCCTCAGCCAGAGCTTTAACACTAATCGATTCTAAACCAACCATCGTTTCTCGCAAATTTCGTCCTTGCGTTCTATTTATTATCACATTGTTGAGAAAGGAAATAATCTTGACTTTACAACACCAACAATAGATCCGATTCTCCGCAGCATCCCCGATCGACGTGCTACTATAGACTGGGTAGTGTTGTGTGTTGCCAAACTGAACTCAACACTCCTCGACTCGACTATTTGAAGCTAGATCTGTAATGCAAATACTTGTAAGCCGGCCCAAAGACAACAGGAGACTACAGTCCTACAACTCTTACTGCGTGCACATTTTCGGATCAGCGTAAATAGACAAAAACAAATGCGCAAAGTGCTTTATGCGCAATAATAATTTACAGTTTCCAAGGCGAACGGCAACCACGTCGCTATTCATTCCTTTCTCACAATAATGATTATGCGATGAATTCCCTTCCTTTTATATAATTAACGTTTCTTTTGCAATGCTTGTTCCTATTTTTACCCTCAAACTGGGCCATAAAATCCATCCACGAACAGCTGCGTTGGGACGGTACGATGGAAGACATCCTTGCCTGACAGCGGGCACAACGGCTGGAAAGGTTAGCTATTTTTGTTTTGGTACTTTTTTTTTTATCGAAATGTGTTTTCTTTTTCTGGCTTTTCTAAATTGAATAAATAGTAACTGAAACTGAGAAATCGTGTACTTATTTGAAAACAGGAAACAACACGATTAACCGTATAATAGTTTAATACATACCGGGTGACTATTCCATTTGAACGATTTCGGCAATAAAACACAGTGAAACCTGTGATCTTCTGTTTGGCTCTTTTGTTTGGCAGAAAAATTATCGTAATCGTGGCCATTTTTTATTGAAGGTCACTGAAGTGTGGGCTTACACCTGCTTTCATATGTTACAATTGAGGGTCTTGCTTGTCTTGCCTGACAATTTCAAGCCAATTGGAGCTGTCAAACTTTTTTCTGTAGTATGGGAGAAATAAAAAAATCTGAATCTCTATTGAAGTCCCAATTTTATGGGCAGGTGATCTTCTAACTGAGCCACAAGGAACAACTTGGCAAGCTAGATCATCAGGCACGTATGCTACAGCTTAGTTCTTGACAATTGTTTGGCATACAGCAAGGTTGAACAATGCCAAAAATAAATATAGAATTTTTTTTTTTAATTACATTTTGATAAACTGATTTGATGGGCTCAAGACAAAGGGAAATTAATTCAAAACTTGAATCGAACTATAGGATCATAATGTGTACCTATTAGTTTAGTTAATACATCAACAAAGTTGAAATGGTAAATTGGCCACCGTTACGATTATAAAAGCTGACGTTTCGAGTGTTAGCCCTTCGTTTCGAGCGTTAACCCTTTCGCTCTGACAAAGGACCACTGGACTACTCACACCTCACTATGACTAAGTGGGAGGGCTGGACGGGAAAATATTTGGTTTGAAGTGATGAATTCAATAATCACTAAATTTTTATCGTGTGATCTCTGACTAAGTTTTGAACAATTCCAAAAAGTTTGCTGTAACTTAAATAGAATGCAACAGACTGGCGTGTTAAGGAAAACCACAAAAAAAGGTTCTAGAATTATAACATTTCCTTAAATTATTTTTACGTGTCGGGAAAAAGAAACTCACAATTCATCACAAAATGTTATTCATTTTTTCATTTTTGCACTTCTGTCACTCTTTTTTCGTAATAATAGGAAACAGTGTTGACAAACAAGCACATGTACACTAGGACAGCTTTTTCCTGGACTGACTCATGTTAACCCATCTAGCCCAACACATGTCAACTTTCATTTTGGTTTTCTATGGGATTGTGTGAGCGGGGCAAGACTGGTCATGTAATGATACATGATTAATTGAAGGCTACTTTTTTTAAGATTATGGTGATTTACATTGGAATGGATATGGGGAGAAGATGTGATATATCAATTTTGTGTTTCTCAGAGACTGGACTCTGGTGCTATTACTTTTCAGATGCACCTTGTCTCTCAGTTTCTTTCGTGAGATCTTTTACAGTAATGTTGTAATAAGTGTTTTTAGAATGAAATGTTATTGATTTTAATGATCTATTTCATGATCATTGGCATGTAGGTTTTTATCCACAATCCCCACAGTAGTGCCTTACAAGGTGGCAGAGCAATTGCAAGTCACGATAATGACATTAGCATTTTAAACATCAACCAACAAGTGTCTGCTGTTGCCGCTGGTCCATTGAATTCCACTGGATGCGACACACTTCTAGTTGGAACACCCACGAACTTCTTGGCCTATGACGTGGAGAACAATTCTGACCTCTTCTATAAAGATGTATGTGATATCGGGGTTAATTGATGAAGGCCTCAGGTGGTCATTTAGAAGAGAAAAAAAAAAACATTTGGAAGTTATGCAGAATTTATCATAGTCACATTTTGATACATCCTCAAATTAGCACTCCTCCTGTTTTGGGGTTGAAGAGGGTGCCTTTCCATTTACAAATCAGATTAAGTATGCTCTTTTCCCCTTGAATAGGCACCCCTTGCCTGTCCCAGTTCATATAAGTTTATGAAAGTAAAATTATCAAATAGAAAAAAATTAATGGTATAAAACAGAAGAAAGCAAATTGTTAGTGGAACAACAGTTTTTAGGAAGAAGATAAGAATCAACAGTGGACTACTTAGCAAGGAAAAAAGTCAGTACTAGGTACGGTGGTAAAAACAAGTGCAGGTATAAAATTAAATTTTAAATTTGGGCATTCATCTGACTTATCATTGTAGATTGCAGATGGAGCAAATGTAATTGTGACAGGCAGACTTGGATCTTTTGAGAATCCGTTAGCAATAGTGGGTGGAAATTGTTCTATTCAAGGATTTGACTTTGAAGGAAATGATGAATTCTGGACAGTAAGTAGTGATAATTGTTGACTGAAAATAATTACTGCTTACAGCAAGTATAGTAAATGTCATTTTTGTACCTAATACAAGTCATATCTCTGATTTCATTTATATGCAAAGTGCAGCTAATAATTATCATCCAAGTCCAGCTTCTCACCCTGTAGCTTTTATTGTACGGTTTTTTGGACAACTAAGCATGTGGTCCATACTTAAGTAATGAAAAATGAATAATGCACTTGTCCCATTAGGGACAAGTGAGTTGAAGAGGTAATTTTTTGGAAGTGAGTACATATAGAGACAAACTATAATATTTATGAACTGATTATCAGCACTATAAATGTTATGCAGTGTATTTAATAATATTTATTAGAGGGTAATTTTGCTTCTCAAAAAAAATAGAAATTAGTAAGCTATCTAAATGTAATTGTAGATTTTGATTTTTTGGTAGATGCATAAAAGCAGTAGCAGAAATACTAACTTTAAGTTCCTCCATTCCATTTGTTGCATCTGCATAGGTGACAGGAGACAATGTCTGCTCTTTGGCAATGTGTGATTTTAACGGTGATGGACTGGCAGAGGTATTTTGTTTACAGTGTTGAAATGTCAACTAATCTCAGTTGTGACTTTAACAAAATGGAAATGTTCTATCCAGGGGCTCACAAATAGCAAACTTCCTCTTTATCTTGATAGAGTCTGTCAGTTTCCTGTAGGTTTAAGTTTACATTTTACAACTGATTTTGAAATTGTAAATATTTTTTATCTACACAGCTACTTGTTGGTTCAGAAGACTTTGACATCAGAGTGTTTAAAGAAGATGAAATTATCGCAGAGATGACCGAAACTGAGGTGGGTGCATCAGTTCTATATCTATTTTCAAGATCTAGAATGTATTTTATATTCAACAGTTGTGAATGTTGTTGTTGTTCAGTTTTTTTTTTTTTTCTCTTTTCCATAGTCTGTAACCTCTCTCTGTCCAATCAGAGGATCAAGATTTGGTTATGCCCTAGGAAATGGCACTGTGGGAGTTTATGATAAAACAGCAAGATACTGGAGAATAAAGGTATAAAGCAGCTGCTATTTTTTTCCTAGAAATGCCTGTATGTAGATTGGAAGTATGCCCTCAAACTCAAATTAGTTCATTGGTTCAGTCTCGACAGTTGTAAAAGCACTGTTACTAATGTCTAATACCATGTCTTGTCAGCTCTTATTTATTTGGCCATTTTACACTACCTGCTGCATGTATCAAACTAAGACAACTGTACTTGTTCCAAGCTTTTGCAATCACCACATAATCTCTTCCTAAGTAACAGAGTAAACTTTTTTCACTTGTTTGCCATACTTATTCCTTCTGACCTTTATTTTGTTCATTTGCCTGGGTAACATAGACTAATGCAAGGCTGTGCTCTAACTAAGAAAAATTGAAGGAAGCCCAGTGCCCTGAAACTGTGAAAACCAGGGTGCCCAGCATATGCTTTTTTATGAAAAAAGTAAGATTCCTGAGTTGCCCAATAGCAAAAGTAAGGTGCCAGGGGCCACCAGGCGCTGCTAGACCACAGCCCTGCTAATGTGTTAGTTAGAATAGCCAAATCTAGAACAAGTGAAAAAAAATTCCTACCATTTTGCTCTCAAATAGTTAGAGAAGACTTTATCTTATTTTTTGATTTTATTTATTACTAATTAATGCTTTGGCAGGACTAAAAGACTTATGATAGGTGGGTGATCCTTCTGAGAACATAATTATGGCTTAATTACTGCTAATAGTTATCACTGGCTTTTGTCATAAGATTATAATATGCAGTTTTCCAGCCTATCCACTTTGGCATTTACAGTTGTTTTCCATGCCCTAGTGGTAATGATACATCTCTTATCTTTTTTTTCTTTTTTTTTCCCCCTTATTCAGTCAAAAAACCAGGCAATCACGATTCACAGTTTTGATCTTGATTCTGATGGAGTGCCAGAGCTCATCACTGGTTGGTCCAATGGAAAGGTGAAGATATTCTGTCTTTTGCAAAAGAAAAACAAAACTTATGTCTAGCTGAGTTGCCAGTGGGTCAGTCAAGGAAGGCTACCTAAAGATCATGTGTCTTGCAGTGATCTTCTACATCTCTATCCAATTAACCCTTTACCCCTTAGAGTGACAAGCATGTAATTTCTCCTTACAATATCACACTTGAATCAAGCAGTAAGGTCAGGAGAATAAAGGAACTGATCTCTTGATTGATAAAAAAATTATCCTTTTCCCTCTGCCTTACATTTCCTGTGATTTAATATGCAAAAAGGAAGTTGCTAAATCAGAAAAGTATCCTGTGGTGATATTTCCTTAAATGTTGTTACATTTCAGCTTGACAATGCATTGATAATGTAAGTTGAAATTGCTTGTTGGTCACCCAACAAGAGGTTAACAAGAGGCTATGAGCACATGTAGCTCTTTAAAGTATCTTCATGCCAGTGTAATGCTTTGAGAAGGTTAACAGTTGTCCACTATCCCTTGCCAGGGCTTGACATTAACAGTAGCCAGCTAGCCACAGACTACAGTAGAAATTTAGTTTTGGTTAGTAGTTTTTTAATTTGCACCAGCCAGTTTGGCTAGTAAACAAACTGAAATTGTTGTAACATCTAAGTTGCCACTAGCAACTTGGCTAGTAAGTTGAAAAGTTAGTGTCTAGCCCTGCTTGCAACTTTTGTTTGAGATGTTAAATACATGATCTTATTAACCAAGCACGAGGGCCGTACTGGGAGAATATTGGCCTGAGGTCTTGACAGTACGGTACAGACCGAGCGCATCTCGGTCCATACAAAAATGACCGAGGGTGGATATTCTTCCAGTACGGTCCCAAGCAAGCTTGGTTAATAAGAGATTTATTATACAACTGAAGTTCAAAGGGACACAAGTGCGGTATCATTCGGGACAGTGCCCGGTCCAATACTTAGAGATTATTGGACCGGCAATAGAGCATTTTGATTGGTTGATTGTAGTTATTGGCCCTCTGACTGCCCGAGTCGTGTAATACTGTATTGTAAAATTTGAGCTCCTTGAATTTTTTCATCCTCAGATTGATGCTCGTAGCGACAGAACAGGAGAGGTGGTGTTTAAAGATAACTTCTCTGCTGCAATTGGTGGTATTCTTGAAGGAGACTATCGCATGGATGGCAAAGTGGAACTTATTTGTTGTTCAGTGGAGGGGGAAGGTAATTTTGAAGCACATGTTGAGTTAATAAATGCTATTTTCTATCAGTTGTACTTGTGTTAAAGGTATCTTGAGAGGAAAAACTTTAAAATCGCTGGAAGCTGAAATATTAGTTATTAATTGGTGCAATATTAAGTTAGACCACACTTTCCATTGGTATACTGGTGTAATAACCCATGTGCAATGTAGGTAGAACATAAGAAATGTTTGTAAAGCATGAGCTAAAGCTGAGTGATTTACAGACTTTTGGAGTGTGTCCCAATGTTCAAGGGGATGTTTATACTGTTAAACTGATTGAAAGTGCAGTTTATTGCTTCGTTAAAAGAGCTTAAAACAAAGCACAGTATGTGTTAATTTTTCAATGGGGTTATCAGTGCAATAAACAATGTTTAGGTTTTTGACCAGTCAGTGGGCTCACAGGATCTCAGTTTTTTCTTTTCATAAATCATATCATCCTGGTATAGTCCTTGTTTTTTTAAGGAGTTTTGAAGGGGAGTTTGTTTCTTGTAGACTTTGCAGTCTGAACAAACTCATGGGTCAACAAGAAGACAATAGATAAGGCTTGAAAGGGGGCACGAGTATAGGGGCTTGTAAGGGGATTGGATATAAGCTTGACATGTGGTGGGAAGGAGCCTGCAGGTGAGTGGCTTAGACATTGCATACTCAGGTATTCTGCTCGGTCAAGTTTTCTTGCCTTTAAGAATTGTTTCACATTTTTTTTTCTCAGTTCGTGGGTACTTGCCAGCATCTGCCGAAATGAAAGGCAACTTGATGGACGTCAATGTTGAACAAGATGCACTACGAGACTTGGCGCAAAGGAAACAAAATTTACTGTTGGAACTGAAAAATTATGAGGAAAATGCTAAGGTAAGAGTTATGATTCAATGTTGTAATATTGTAAAGTGAAATGTCAATTTTCTTGTTGGTGTCCGTGAAGTACAGTGCAATGATATCATGCTTGCATGGGTCCTCTAAGTGTTAATTTACTGGCTGGTTAATTGCAATTTTAAGAATGGAAGAGGAGATGGAATGAGCAGTTACTGTTGGTAGCTTTACCCTCCTCTTCCACTGGATCAAGCTAATATTAGATATCATGTAGTTTAAGTTGAGTCCTATGTTTAGTTTTAGCCCTTTTTGCCTTGTTTTTCATCAGCACAGTGCCTGCCAGTGTTTAATATGCTTATGTCTGATTTTTTCCTTTCTGTCACAAATGATAAGAAAACTTTCAGAATCCCTCTAGTTGAGTAAGTGACCTCTTTCTTGGGATCTAGCTTTCTCCTCATTTCTTCCCACCTGAGTGAGAGAGGTTGTATGAACTAGCTTTGACTAATTTGTTGGTGACAATTACTAGCATGTACCAATCAAAATGGTTCCATGACACAAATTCATGCTGCCTTGGCTTAGTCTAATTAATCAAATCCAAAGGCTAATAAAAAAGGCAAATGACATGACAAAATCATCATAGGTTGGAAAGGTCGGAGGTCAAGAGGTTGACCAATCACAGATGGGAGTCATACCAGCCAATACTCAACTGCAGACCTCGCTGTTGGTAAACCCAGGGAGTGAACAAGTTCAGCCTCATGTGCAGCTCTCAATTTCAACCACCAATGAAACTGTTATTCGAACTGTGATGATATTTGCTGAAGGAGTGTTTGAGGGGGAAAGTCATGTTGTCCATCCATCACAACAAAGTTTAAAGTCATCACTTCAAGTTCCAGTGTTTCCACCCAGAGATATTCCTGTTGATCTTCACATCAAAGCTTTTGTTGGCCAGAAATCCAGGTTAGTAGACTTGTTACTTCCTCTGTCAGTGGATAAGTGTCTAATTTCAAAGAGTAAAACAAATAATAAATATAGTTACATAGTTCAGCATGGCTGCAACATCTCATTTTGGATTTTCAGGGATAGTGACAGACATTTCTTATTCTATAACTTGAGCTATCATTATTGCACTCCTGTAAATTTGATGGTGTTCTCTCCTTATGTTGTCAAGGTGATGGCACTATAAACTTGGGAAGAAAATAGATTATCTCAAATCACAAAAATTTACAGTCATGCAAATAAGAAATAAAAGAAGTCATGTGCAAGTGCTTTTAGTTGGACAAACACACCTTTACCTTACCATTTGATTCTATTTTGTGTTGGTTTCTTAATTTGTTTGTTTTGTTTTTAGTTTGTTTGTTTTCTGTTTTGCAGCAACCACTTCCAGGTTTTTGAGCTTACAAGACAGCTGCCCAGGTAATAAAATGTATACCCCTTGATAAATTTTAGATACTAGCAATATGAACTATAAGTGACAATTTGAGCATTACAGGTTAACTGTATGAATTTAGAATCAATTTTGGAAAAAAATCTGAAACCTCAGGCTTCATTGGGTACTGAATCTCGCTGGCGGCCTCCTAGATAGCAGTTGAACAGGGCCACTAACATTGTAAATGTGTGAACAAGATTGTATGGTACTAATGCTCTCTCTCAACCACACAAGATTTGTGTGCCTCCGGATGGATTGAATGATACAGCTTATTTCATAGTAGCTTTCAGCATAGTTAATAGAGCAAACTATTAGCTATGCTTTCAGTTAGTCCTTAAGTCTAAGATGCGTTTTTCCATTTAGCTCTTTAAATAACCAAAAACATTCCATATATTACTACTGTTACTTTGCACTACAAGCTGGTTAAAAAGTGTATTGTTTATTTCACAGATTAATCAATAGTTATTTTATAAAAGCAATACTTGGCACTTTCTATTGATTTTCCTGCATAATAACCCATAATAATAACCCACTTGGGATGTGGCTGGGTAGAACACTTGAAGAGTTTTTTTGAAATCACTTGCCTGCAGCTCATGATTTACAAACTTTTCATGTGTTCTTCCAACATCCCCATTGAGTTATTACATCGGTAAACAGATTATATAGATCACGTATGGTTTTATTACCAGAGTTTATCAGCATTATTAAAAACTAGGTCATTGGATAATGCAATTCAAGACTTTTTATTGGCTTAGCCATTATGGTATATCAGCCAATATACCATAATCTACAAATATGGTAAGCATACGTGTCAGCTTAAAATTAAAAAGGAGCTAAAATTTTAATAAAATTTAATAATTTAATTTAACTATCTATCATCTTACATCCAACGCATGCTCATGGAATAATTGTTAATTATTTCTGTTGTGTAGATTCACTCTGTACATATCTTGCCCAGACGGTTATGCTGAACCAAAATCCAGCTGCTCCTTTCACATTAATGAACGAGTGAACAGGGTAAGCCCAGTTGAGTGACTAGGATCTACTTTCTCCTTAGAATGCTACCCCTGAATCCCACATTAAGGTTCCACGAGTGAAGGAAAAGATCACCGACTAAAAAGCTCTTGATTGTTGAACAAATTTTCCTTGTCAGCACCCTAGGAAATGTATAGCGAACAGTGAGGGGAATGTGCGTACTTTTTTTGTGGGGGAGGGGGGGGAGGGGTGTAAAGGTTAGCACAGATATCTGATCATTGCTGTTAACTGATATCTATGTTGTGTTTCCAATACAGGCTGTTATGTGGCTAAATCAGAATTTTCTCCTCCCTGATGAGATAGAGAGCAGGGATGGGGATCTTGACATAATGTTCCTTTCTCTGAGAACTGGTAACCCCCTGGCAATCAAAATGGATCAAAGCGGAAATGTAAGGAGTGCAATAATCCATTTCACAGTTGTGTGCTCGGTTGCCAAGTCTTCGGACAAGAGTGGGGCTAAGGGTGACCTTGTTATGGTACAAACGTTGTTGCTTTTCAAATGTAAATCACTTTTGAAAATTGAAGCGCAGCCAGGATGAGACATATTAAAATACAATGAAGAAGTTCTCTGGCCAAAAGTGTTTGAAAACATAAGCTTTCGGCTGTCGATCTACAGCCTTCCACGGATAAAACATGAAAAGTAAATCAGTAAATGTATACAAAAAGCAAGATAAAGGGGATAAGAAGAACAAAGTAAATCCCTTTGTTATCATGCTAACTAGGTACAGGTCTCTATCACGACAAGGTCACCTTCAGCCTTTTTCCAAATCAAAGTCTTGGCAACTATGTGCACAACTGTAAAATGGCCTATTGATTTTTATACACTACAAGTTCTCATGCCTGTATTAGGGAGCCTCTCCGGGCTAATGTGTGAACCCTTAAACCGTAAAAATATTAAGTCTGTAATCTAAGCAAGCTTTGTGATGACTCAACACCGAGTACAAATAGATTAGGACTTTGTTTTTTTTTACCTTACTGAATTAACAAACGTATTTGTGTACCATCCTCGCAACAAAGCTGTTCACTGCAACAGCGAAAACGTTCTTTTAGGTTGTTGGAAGCTAAGGCAAACTTGTAGAATTAGAAAACAAAGCAACTTTCAAAAGAATGTCGAAAGTAATCTGAGACTGCATTGGTTTTGCTTTGCATTGCTATGTGATTGGGCTAGAAAACTCGCGTCGCCCTCTCCTCCAATCAGATGCAAAACTAAAACCAATCACGGTTTGTTCGCCTGTGTTTTCCCACACTTTACTCATTCGCCCTCGTTTTCCCGCGCTTTAGAACAGCTTTACTTTGCCCGCGCTTTACTTTGAGTTCCCATTGGTTCTTTATGGTATTTCCTTTCTTCTGGTTGGCTGTTGTGATGACTTTGGCTTTGGTTTTAGGACACTTATTCGAAAAGCGCTCTATTGTAAAATCTACCTGGCAGGTTTAAGTTTTGTGTTCTGTGTAGGTGAGTATCAAGACAGATGACATGGATTTAGCAGGAGACATCATTCAGGCACTCGCAACCTTCTTGGGAATTGAGGTAACTTTACTCTGGGCGGTATAATTTTTTCTTTTTTTCATTGTGTACCTTGTCTGCATTCGTAACGAACATTTGAGGGTTCGTTCAAGTCCTGTTAGTTGAACTTGTTGTTTCCTGTTTGCCTTTGTTTGATTGATTAGAATGGAGCGTCCCTTTTTGAGCACTTCTTACAGCAGCGAAATTGAATTTTTTTTTTGGTGAAAGAAGTTACCTCTAAAATTTTTTTTTCGAGGGAACACGTGCTGTACTCTCTGGGCAAATTCAATACTTTTCTATAGGTGAACTAAACACTTAATCACTCGATTTTACCTCAGGACTTACAGACCACAGCAGAATTTCCTGACCATTTGGAAGAACTTCGTGGGGTGTTACTTAAGGTAAACCTGAACAAAACTTCTTTAAGACAGTACCTGTTACTATGACCAAAATGCAGTGTTGTTCCTACCGTTATTGAACCTATCTGTATATTTGGCCTTATAAACCACCAATCACTTTTTGCGCGATTTTATTGGCCACTTTGTTTCATGTGAAGCAACATCACGCAATAACTCCCGCCTTCGTCAATATTTGTTCTCCGATTATTTCCGTCGAAATAAAGCAAAGCTGGCGGAAAATGAGCCAGCTGAAGAGTTTCATCTTTTCATCTCGATTATTTTACCCGGAAGGTAGTGATAATAAAAAGCTGGTCTCAAATACGCATCCACAATCAGATCGATGTTGAGGTCAATGTTGGCGAGCGGTTTTTGCGAGACGTGGGTTGAAAGGGTTATATAATCGATAAACCCCTTTCCGGCTTGCTAATATATCGGCTGGTAATGTCTTTGGCTGGGAGATTGTCCAAAAAATTTAACATTTCCTCTGGAAGCTTCGCTTCTTGGCCAAATTTTGATTTTCGGACAATCTCTCAGCCGCGACAGCTGAAATACGTGAAAAATGTATTTTGTTGCTTTGGTACGCTTCTAGTACCAAATTCCCAAGAAATTAGTCATGAAGCTAAATCACTGTAATTGTGTCGCCCTTATGTTCGCTCCCTTGGAGCCAGCTAAGTGAGTTCAAAATGCGTTCTCATTGGCTCTTTCTGATGTCTCTGTTTAATTTGATTGGTCGTAAATACTTATGTTTTACGGCACTCTATCGAAAAGCCCTGTTTGAGGTGTTTGATCACTGAAGCGATGCATGCCTTCAAATTATTGTCATTCAGGTGGACGAACTGCATGCTGTGAGACAAAAACTGACTGCTGAGATGGCGGATCACTCCAACTTGATCAGAAGCTTGGTCGTCAGAGCTGAAGATGCCAGATTGATGGGAGACATGTGAGCATGCTGATCAATGTTGATCAATTTTGATCAATACATATGGTGCATGATCCTCGCAGTAGATAGCGCTATTTAAGCAATAGCGAAAATCAGACCTGAAAAAAATCAGACCTGAAAAAAATCAGGCCTGTACGGGACTCGAACC